ATGAATTACAAAAGAAAATAATATACTGTCTCACCATATATAAATTCTTCGATCTCGTAAAAAAACTCTTATATTTTTTCATCGCTCATAGTTTATATTGAACTACGGATATATAAATTTATTGAAATTCAGTTATATTCATCAAACACAACAGACAGCCATGAATACAAACACAGGTTTACTTATTATAACAAATTCATTTAACATGATCCTTCTCTTAACAATTCATTCATTGTTATTTACCATATGTTATAGTGTCCCGTTTGGTAAAGTTAATAAAACTCGATTTACTAGTAGAGATCTATTAAATAGTGAAGCTATTTGGCTTTCCAATCAACTAACTCCAGAAAAATGTTTATGTACAATTTTGTCTCAATATAATAATACTCTTCTTTTCAATAGTTATCAGAATGGTTCATGTCAAGTATTCTTGTCATTACCATATACATATACAATGGAATACAGAAACGATTCCACATTTATTCTTCTTTCATCATTACCATCAAGAGATATAGCACCTTGTTGTTCAAACTTACCATGGCTTATCAAACGTATAACTAATTCATCATTATCATCAATCAGTCTTAATACACCTAGTTATTTAGTTATTGATGATTATGATGAATTAGTTATACGTTTGATAAGCCATGGTAAGTTTGAACAACAAGGTGCTATATCTCTTGATGGTAATGATGAAAGAAGAATAAATGTGGAATCGTTTCTGTATTCCATTGTATATGTATATGGTAATGACAAGAATACTTGACATGAACCATTCTGATAACTATTGAAAAGAAGAGTATTATTATATTGAGACAAAATTGTACATAAACATTTTTCTGGAGTTAGTTGATTGGAAAGCCAAATAGCTTCACTATTTAATAGATCTCTACTAGTAAATCGAGTTTTATTAACTTTACCAAACGGGACACTATAACATATGGTAAATAACAATGAATGAATTGTTAAGAGAAGGATCATGTTAAATGAATTTGTTATAATAAGTAAACCTGTGTTTGTATTCATGGCTGTCTGTTGTGTTTGATGAATATAACTGAATTTCAATAAATTTATATATCCGTAGTTCAATATAAACTATGAGCGATGAAAAAATATAAGAGTTTTTTTACGAGATCGAAGAATTTATATATGGTGAGACAGTATATTATTTTCTTTTGTAATTCATATACTTGAAA